AACAAAATCAATGTGTTTTGGTTTTACTTGATTAATGGTTTGTGATAATATTTATTTATGATATTTTTTTTCAGAAACATTAAGGATGGTAAAAAGAAAAAACTTGATTTCCAAATAAATCAAGCAAAACATAGTCCTAATTGTGCAATTTCGAAAGCTGCTAAATTGCTAACACAAACAAAATGGCAATTTCATCATTTTCTTTTCTCTCCCTAAGCACCTAGTTCACTCATGCATTTCATCAAACAATAGGTGTGCATTGGAAACCTTTAGGTGTATAGAATACTGTGAACCCAAAACACAATCCAATCACATAGAAAACAAAACAAATCTCTAATGGAAGGATCATAGAGTTAAATGGTGAATATGAAACAAAATAGCATTTTCTAATCAATTGTCATAGAGGAAGTTAAAGGGAAGCATAATTGAAAACAAGAAACAAAAATGAAATAAATACCTGTGAATCAAAATAGCTAATTCCTTGTTTTCGATTTCAAAAGAGAGAGCGAGAGCAGTCAATGAGCTAGAACGATAGCAATTTCGTTTTATAATTCAACTTCATTTTCAATTACGGATGTTATACTGTAAATTAAAAATGGTCGAAGCCGGTGAGAGAATGGTGAAAGCTCAAAAATAATCAAAATTGAAGTTGAGCAAATATATCCTTACCTTGAATAATGGTTACTAATGCTAATAACTAAGGTGGAAGAACCAGAAGGTGTTAAATAATATGGGTAAAGAGGATATTACAATAATTTTTGTTGGCAAAATTTGAACCTTCGCCAAATCCGTCCCAAACCCCCCAAATTGGGGGGATTGGAAATATGCAATTGTAAGGGGTTATTGAGGGGATCCAAACCTCCTCCATCTCCTTCCCCTTCTTGCTCTTTACATATCCAAACATAAGGAAAGAGACAGCCTCCCCTCCCTCTCCCTCAATTACCATCTGTCCCCTTCACTCCCCATCCCTCTTTGTTGGTCTCCCTCAATCCAAACAGTATGTAAGCGTCTATTTTTTCATTCACAAGATTCAAACTTAAAATCTTGTTTAAGGGAAATCAAACTCCTTCCACTCTAAACAACAAATCGTTGCTACCATTTCCTCAATATTCCTTGCATCATTTTTACGCCACAGCTCTTTCCCTCTACACAAACAGCTCCGTTTCTCTACCGCAAGGAATTCGCTCTGCAATACAACAAAGCCTCACTGTAACGCAATGGAATCATTCCAATCTTAATTCCCTATTTGGCTCTTTATTTTACTGTAAATCCTCTTTTATGAAGCCTCCCTGGCTCGTTCCATGATTTTCGGTACGTTCTTGATGTTAATATTAATTTTGTTTGAATAAATTTAAAAAGAGATAAAGAAAGAGAGAGGAAGAATATTTTTTTTATTTAATTAGATAAGTTAAAGAAAATTAATTATAAAAATAACTAAAATTTTAAATTTTGATATATTAAAATTAAATTTAAAATAAAAATTTAATTATATTTTTTTAAATATATATATTAAATCCTTCTAAATATTCTCAAATTAGATGAATTAAGAGGGATTAGAAATAAGAAATTTGAAAAGAATTCATCACCTTTTTATCTATCTCCTCTTATTCTCTCTCTTTTATTGAGTTTATCCAAATAAGAAACAAAAGAAAAATTTCTCATTCTTTTTCCCTTCTTCTCTAACTCTCACAATTCAAACATGGCGTAAAAATATACTACTTTCAAACTAGAAGTGCATTTTTTAAAAAAGAATCCAAACTAAAATGATATTATTCTCTTTGCAAATTCTAATATGAATACCATAATGTCATTTTTTTTTCTTATTTATTTTTTAATACATAGACAATTAGTTAATTAAGCACTTAAACTTTTTCTAATCATATAAATTAATAACCTAAAAATAATCACTTTTTTAAAAGAATAAAAAATCTTAAATTTAAGTTGTATGTAGATAGTCCAAACAAAAAAAGAAAAAAAAATTCTAAGTTTAGTTTATTCTCTATTGCAAAAATATATATCCCATGGGAAATGGGACAGAAATTTTAAATTATATTATCGATTTTATCATTATCTTGACGATTGATTAGAGGAATAACCATTGTTCCCTTGGGCCCAAATGTTGCAGCTTAAGCACGGCTTCATTAAAATTTCAGGGCATTGTCAATGACAAACGGTTACAAAACTAGAAAATCATAGAAGCAAAGGCAAACATTACAATGGTCTTATTGGAATGTAAATTTGATTAGAATGTATTTAAATTTAAAATAATTTTTTATTTTTACTTAAATACAATAGATTTGGATTTGGTCTAAATATATATATATTTGATATCATTTATTTTAAAATTAAAATTACATGTATTTCAAATGTTTTTTTTTTTTTGAACATTTTTGTCATAGGGTCGGCTCGAACCGTTACTCTGAGGAGGGGGATATGAAGCTTTACAAACGTGGCTAGAACCACTTAGTCCGAAGGGTCAAGTTCATTTCAAATGTATTTTTTAACATATGAATTTCAATTTTGAATACTTATATTTTATTAAAATAAGATTCATTTTCAACAAAATCCCAGACCATGCTTCTTTGTTTACAGTTGGGTAATTTATCTAGACAACTTAAAAATGTGTATATATATATATATATATACGGTAAAGTGGCCATCAGTATTGTCTCTCCAAAAAATTTGGAGTCCTAACCCAAAACGACGTCGTTCCCTTAATCCCAACCCGTCCCCTTTGCCTTTCCCTCTTTTGCCTTTGCCTCTTCTGCAATCAACTCCATCTCTATCTGATTTGCATCAGCCTAAAGTTTTTGCCTTTCCCTAACTTTGGGCCTTTTCTCTCTCATCTCCCGAGCCTTCATTTCAGCCAGCAGCCATCAAAGGAGATCAAGCCCTACTGCGCCCCCTCGCTTGCTGCACCTGAGCTTGCACCCTGCTGCACCCAATCCTGCGCCTCGCTGCACCTGGGGCTGCGCCCTGCTGCACCTTGCTGCGCCTCCTGCACTCTACACCCCCAATCCTGCGCCTCTGCACTCCTGCTTGCTACAGCCCTACCCTTGCCTCACCTACAGAAAAAAACAGCCCATACCAGACAAAATCGGCATCATCTTCGTCCTCTACTTTTGCTGCAAAGATCAGTGATTGGCGGAAGAAGTTTTTATTTTATTTTATTTTTCTTTTATTTTATTATTTAGGTATATATATAGGAAAAAATCAAATCAAAGA